GTGGCGCCCAACTGATTCTTCTTCTACATGGGCCTGGAGGAAGTGGAAGGCTACGTAATTGACTTAGTCATGGCTTATGGCAAAGAATTCTGCGTTTGATTGATCATCATTTAACGACCGAACCATTGTTGTCACTGCTATGTCGGGGGTTGCTGCTACAATACTGCATGGGGAAACAACGCATTCAGCTGTGGGATTGAACAGAACTCGGGAAGTGTGGCGAAGAACTTGTAGAAGAATGGAGTGACGCAAGGATGCTTATCATCGACGAAATTTCATTCGCGGGGAACTTGACTTAGTGAAGATATTCCACTACACCAAGACCTTGATGCAAGACGAATCCAACCATTTGGGGGACTTAACTTGGTGTTCGCGGGGACTACTCTCAACTTGAACCAGTGGGACGCCCCCAATTTACAATCTTCAGCACACCAATCCTGAATTTCATGACTCTCTGAATTCATTTATTGAGTTAGATGAATGCACCGCTTCAAAGACGATCCTGAATGGGGGCACGCTGTTTAAGATTCCGTAAGGGCGACCAACAGAAGAAGATTTTGAGACCATCAATGACGCCTTGCGTGGTTGGCCCAACCCATGTTCCACCAGAGACATTCAAGTTGCTACTTATCTTGAATCGAGATCGAGATGATTAACTCAGCTATCTTCGAAGAATTTTGTGGGAAGAACAAACCTGCTATGATTCCGTGCTGATGGATTCAGTACTCATTTTCATGGCCGATCTTCAAATGGCCAATTAAGCAGTGGACATTCTGGTTCCCTGTTAAGAGCAATTCGGTTTTAAAGCTCTTCTTTTCAACATGTGTAGAATACTCGTTAAAACCCGGTTGGGACTCACGAAAACGTGTAGATCCTGCTTTGAAGTTATATAACGGGTGTCCTGTAAATAGTTACAGAGAACAACACGAATGTCCGAATGGAAGAACCAAATGGATCTTCAGGACTTTTGTGAGGAAGGTGAATGTGAGGGATGGTTGCACCCCATGATTATTCAACTCGACAACGGCTGCAAGAATCGGAGACGTATTATTCTTCTCAGGTTCAAGATCAAAATCTAATCCCTTGTGGAAACCATGAAATGGAGACTATTATGGCACGTACTTTTTATGTAAAGGAGCAAGAATACAATTTCAGCACCAGATGGTTCTATTACGGAGAAGTTGTACACACCAAGATGAAGGTTAAGCAGTTCCCGATTATTAGCAATTCTGCGAAAACTGGAAACAAATTACATGGATATACTGCAGTGTGTTTATTGGTACATTCATGGCGATACTGTCAAAAGGCTGGCTTTACGTGGTGTTATCAAGGGTTCGAACCATGATTGGTTTTTTCTTATTGAAGAAGCTGGTTTGGGATCCAAAGAACTTTGTCATGCCACAATGAATGAGAGACATGCTTGACAGATTTAAGGATACTATTGGGCTTACTGTCCTAGGAGAAGATCAAAACGATGAAATGTTCCAGCGAGAAGACGGGTTTTTGTTATAAGTATGAACGGAAGGGATATAGGAAATTATTTATATATAAAAACTTTTATTACTACAACACCTTTCTGAGATTCGCATTGCACTCGTACGTCATTCAATGTCGTCATTGAAAAAAGATCAGCGTCCAATCAAATCACAGGCGACCCCGAAAATTAGAGCCAACTTTTAAAATGTGAGAACGCAAGGCGACTTTCATGTGCATGTACATGCGTTGACTGTATCCGTCAATACAATACTAGACACTAGTCGAATACGTAGACTTCTACAGGGCCTTCTAAGTAATGCGCGCCGGGTATAATTCAAACCTCTGCCCCCATCGGTACCATTACCCCTAAAGCAAATCGTCTCCAGGAGACGAAATTAATAGCTAGCTAGGTGGGGTTTCAGCGGAAGCAGTGGTGGATACAGCTTTGCTACTGATGCCTTGGGAGCTCGCAGTAGATATTGCTTTGTACATAAAGACTACGATGCCCGCAAGGGGAAGCAATAATAAGATAGTAAAACTACGATTAGAAATGGTAGATGGTAGAGGCGTTCACCCAAGACCTTTTTCTAGCTCCTTCAAGGAAAGATATATCAATACAATGTCTACAATAACAAAGCAAGCATACCGGTACAGTCATTGACATTTGTGAAATATCAATAAACCACAGAATTACTTAAGAAAGTCATGAATGAACTAGAATGGTGAATATGGGTGCAAACAAATAATTACGGGACTGTTTCTGTGGAACAACTGCATTGGCTTCTTTGGGTCTTTTGGCATTGGCTTTTATCGAGTTCTGACTCAGACAGTTTTCTGACTTCCGTGCCTGGGCGGGACGTCAACGTCTTCGCAGCTCAGCGGATTTAGTCCCTTGAAGGACGTCCAGTTCTTCTCATCCCCGACCTCCGTGTTGTGCCACTGGCAGAGATCGTCGGTTGCTGGAGGTTTGTGCACAGTGACTTCACCAGTGCATCATTGGGGACGAATCTTGCTTTCGTATTTTGCTGCAGTACCTTCCAGCTCTCCCTGGCTAGCTAGGATGCCAGCAAGCATGCAGTCAACCGCGGGACCAATGACGGGTGACGTTGCCTCATCTGGGATAGTTAGTTTCAACCAAGTCCGACTGTGCCGTGTGCATGCCTAATTGCTAGGGTCAGGTCCTGTGACATACTCCAAAATCGGTTTATCTAGCTTGTTTCGGCACTGAAAACGAGAGGGAGCGAGAAAGCCGACTTTGAGACACGGAATCGTCCATTTTTCGACACAAACCTCGAGGAATCGAATCGAATCGAATCGAGTCATAAATGCAACACGTACCGTTAGAACAGTTGTCGAGTTGTGGGCACAGCAAAGACAGTCCTGGATGGCAGATACCCCTCGGCAATCTGCAAGCACAATTGCATTCGACCTCACTTTGCAGTAAGCATTGGGAAGATGTCCCTCGAAACCGCTTTCAATCAGGTTGATAACAGCTGCAGAAAAAACAAGAAATCAAATCATGATGAGTGATGCTTGCGCTCAGTGCCATTTGACGTGCTTCTTTTCTCCCTGCCAGGCCGCGAGATCTACCAAGTACTGGTACTGAATACCGATACGTACCAACTCCTCGAGAGGCGGTCACAAAATCGGGCGGCGAGCCCTTGAAGTTGTTGTAGGAAAGATCCACGTATTCTGTTGAAGGCGCACATGGTCAGATTCCAATCCAACGACTAATCGCCTCCGCGAGCAATTGGTATCAGTGTACTGGTTGCCGTCCTCCCAAGTCCAAACGTACCAAGCCTGGTTGAATTCTGGAACTCCCTGGGCACAGACCCTTGCAAAAAATTGTGGCGAACAGAGAGAAACTGAAGCCCTCGATTGTACGCCCCTTGTCCAAAGGCGGGTAGTGTCCCCACCAGCTTGTTCATATCAAGCCTTAGTACGTCTGTTCGCAACAACCGACAGCACGACGTAAGAAACCACTCACGATAATATGGTACGGAAAGGGAGAAGCATGGGTATACTCACGTAGCCGCAATGACGCCATCTCGGAGGGTATGGTACCCGTGAGGGCATTGTTGGACAAATCGAGTTTTACTGGGTGGGTCAAGGCAAGAATCGAATCGTGAGCAGTGCACAGATAACGAATTTCAGCGCTCCATTCTGATTTTCTGTCAACTCACAAAGGCTCGTAAAGGACGCGACCGCCTGAGACGGAATCGTGCCAGTCAAGCTTGTATTGGACAATTCAAGTTCGTCTGTGCATGCACAAACAGAGACAAGAAATGGATGAGAAGTGTAAACGCAACCACGCATCGTGTCAAACGTCGTCGCTACGCACTTAGGTTAGGGAACACAGTGAAACCGGACGGAATTGAGCCATGGATTGGATTGTTTGACAAGTCAAGTCTTTTCAGCGACTGAGCTAGGCCGATGTACTCTGGTATTGTGCCAGAGATATTGTTCCATGGAAGTTCCATCTCCGACACCAAGGATGGGAAGATACAACTGTGTAGAGAGGAGCTTGAAGTGAGATCATAATAGTCAAGGGAGAAGGAGCCGCTTTAGGCGACCAGACGGCATTACTCACTGTACTCCGTGCCAACGGCATACATCATTGTCCTCCAACCAATTGTCTTTCCGGATCCAATAATCGCCATTCATGCTAAAGTAGAATCTATGCATGGCAAACATCTGTGAGGTCATAGATTCTCGAAGGGGGCCAAGACTTGTAGCGTCAAAATCCTCAAAGGAAATCCCTTTACTGATCCTTGCCATGGATACCAGGGCCAAGTTTTCAATCTCACAAGATTCTTCTGATATTTCGATAGTCGAATTCACCAACGAGTTTGCAATCACAAATCCTTTCAAGTGATTATAGCGCGTGTACAAAGTCTTGTCTTTGTTGGCAAAGTGGTTCAAGTATCCATTTGCTGTGCCCTGGCATCCGCAGTAAGTACTGATAGATATCTCCTCAATGGGACGTTGGCATATATCGTCGCTCTCGTGGATGGCAAGCACCAGCACAAGGGTGATAACCAAGCCGACGATAACCACCAGAGCAGTCGTTCCGAGCAGCAGCAGTTTTCTTCTTGCAATTTCTATTTCGTCCTCCTTTACATCCTCGGCATACACCACCTGTTTTGGCAACGTCAAACGTATATTTTAGCTCTCCAGTGCCCCCTGCAATAATGCGAAACACACGAATGCAACGTACCGGCTCGGCATCGGTGACGGGTTCGGCGTTGGCAAGCGCAGCCGAGTTCTCAATGTCCGTCGAGGCAGTCAGAGCCATACTTGGCGGAGGGATTCTTTCTTCCTGGATGTTTGAGTCTGGTGCCCCTGCAGCTAGACTGGGAGCACTTTCCTCCGGTGCGTTTGCTCCTGCAGTTGTGCCTGTTGATGCTGCACCCCCTGCTTGGTTTCCAGTTACAGCCGCATTGAGGCCCCAAACAGGAATATCTCCAATGGCTCTATTCCGTTCTCGGTAAGCACCGGGAAGGCCGTCACCAGGAGTTGTTGCAAGATCTGTGGCGATTGTTGCGTCTTCAGTTGTTGGATTTGGCCTCGTTTTGGTCAGCCTTGGGCCGTGTGGCAAGGGCCCTTGGGAACCCTCAGCTGCTTCTCTGGATGGCGTATGAACTGGCTGTCGAGCTCTAGATGTAATGGATCTAGATGTAATGGCCCTATCTGCTGACAGATTGTTGACTAGATCATCCCCTGGTAAGCTTGCAACTGGACTCGTCGCCATGTCGTCTCCTGGGAGTCTCGTTCCAGCAGCTATTCTTGGCGGGGTTGTAGGTTCAGGTGCTATGATGGGTGGGAGCCTTGATCTCGCTGTATTCATACCATTCGGGGATGCAGTGAGATTTTCTGTGGCCACGTGGCTTGGCGGCACAGGACTTGCGCTGTGATCATTCATTTGTGCCCGTTTTCTGGCCAATCTCTGTGCGCGGGTATTTCGGGATGGTGTTGGTACTTGCGCAACGTTGGTCGGTGGCGAGGCACTTGTGGCGAGTTCTGCTGTTCCATTTGAGACCTCTGATGTTTCGTTTGTCTCTCTCCCGTGGGTTTCTCGACCATCGTTTGATGGCGGCGATCTGTGGGAAGATTCCTGTGGTGCTTCCATGGAGATGATTTCAGATTCCTGAGAAAACGATTCTATGGCTGGTGGCTTTTTGTCGTCCTCCTCGTCATCATCGTTTCCATGGACCATGACGATCTCACGGGAACTCGCTGACGCGATATTATCCATGATGGCCTGTTCATTTCCAGCTTCAGAAGTGAACTCGGACTTGGTCTCATGGATCTCGTGTTCCTTGGTGGTATTATCCTCATCCGAGTCGGACATCATACCGTATCATGAATAACAATTAACCAAATACAGCACTACCGGTAGCTTCTCTTGGACTCTTCCATTCAATACTGCCAGGGCAAACGAATTGGGAGAAAGACGACTGACTACCTTTTGCATGCAAACTGGATTCGATGCTATTCCGTTGATCTCTTATTGGCTGCGTTTGCATTACTGTATTGTTGCTGTTGTCCTTGCGGCTTCCCTCTCTGTCGCGTTCCGAGAAATCGCTGGCCTGGCTGGACAATAAGAGTAGATATGAAGATTATTTTGAAGGTAAATCACACGGTTTGAGATTGATTACTACCGTACCGGTACCAGTACCTAGCACGAAAGAGTCTTTGGTAGTATAACTTGAATAGTTGGAAGTAGTAGGAAGTACTGAACCAGTGGCAGCTATTGATGCGTACCGGTACTTGTACCGGTAGGCCTCTTCAGGTCCAGGGCCCAAACCTCAGTGATTGTTTGGAAGGTTCGGCAACAATGAATTGGTGCTTCTCCTCTGGCCACCCACACTATTTGGAATCCAGGATCTACCACACCGTACTTCCGTCCATATCTTTTATCCTGATCTAGCTAGTCCTGGAGCAGTCTTCAGCAACACAGCCTACCTCCCAAGTTCAGTCCACTTCTAAGAATGCCGGGGTTTCTTCCTGTGCACTTCTCCACCGGAAGCCATAGCACTTCGCTTTCGAGAGCAGAAGAGGTACTTTGGTCTACGCAATCGACTTGTGACAAGCCTACAGAGATCCGTGCATTGATGCCTACGTTCAAACTTAAGCATTCCCTTTTCTCCCAAGTCCGAGCGACCGTACAGGTTCTTCCGCTGTTGCGATCGACCGTGGTAGTATTGATGGATCGCAGGATCAGATATCAAGAGCTGGTTGGAGGATTCATCATGCACTCCTTGAACATCGCAAATCAGCATCTTCTCGCCCGTGGCAACGTAGCTGAAATGTGAAAACGCTTGAGCAACTTGTGATGGAGTGAATCGAAGACTTGCGTGGGAATTCTCGGAATTCGAAAGATGCTCTCGTTCTCTTGGCCCCAAGAGTGTCAGCTCGTTGTCTTTGATTCCCTGACACTCATCGCTTGACACACTGTTTTCGTCTTCCTGAATGGTAGTCAGGCCATTAGAAAGCAGTGATTGAATGTCAACGATTGGATTATCGTGGAACGAATCTTTCTTTTCTCGGACAATATACTGTGGTAAAGTATGGAGGAAGGAAGGGTCAGATCCGAGAAAGACTAGAACGGCACACTAACCTTGTAGCTGAAGGAGCTTACACCTGTGTTGGAGTTCCATTTGGTCCACTTCATGTGATCCAGCCTAGGCTCAACAAGCACACTGATGCGTCCTTGCTCAGGGTCAGCCAAGTGATAGACAGAACACTCGAGCACCTTGACCCTTGGGATACTTCGACAGAAGTCGCCAAGTGAATCAAGCTCTGTGTTGAACTCCTTCGCAATTCTGCTCGTGAACTGCTGCGTCATGCAAAACTTGTGCACGAACGTCCGACGGCTACTCTCATCTTCTGCGTTGTTCAGGATGAAGCAGCTTTCTTTTGCCACGTATCTTTGCCCCACAATAGTCCGTCTATCCTGGGCCAATTCATAAAACTGAAACGCAAACCTTTCACCACCTTGACCGAGGGCCTTTTTCTTCATGGCAACATACTTAGCCTTGGCATGTTGGAGCTTCACGGTACCAAACTTGCCTTCCCATCGACGACGACGCCTTTTGATCTGAACTTCGGTTTGGAAAAATCTGAGCCATGAGAACAGCAAACGCAAGAGGACTGAGATGGGTATCTGAATTTTAACGGCACGGCCAACTCTTGGTACATCGTACCGGTCCGCTTACATCTCCCGCGATACATTCTCGGTGGAGTAGATGGCGAAGTCGCTTTCAGATACTGTCTTGGGAAACTCCTGAGCTCGTTTCCTTGACTCTCGCTGGATCGGCTTCATTTTCCTTTGCTTCGTTCCTTCTTCATCTAGCATTTCGATCTGCGTTTTTGCCAGGGCGGTCGCACTTTCTGTCAAGGTAGACCCAAGCGAAGCACACGACATGGCAGGGAGGCGGAACCTGGAATGTGCACCGAAATCGCTGGCTGCGTCTGCCATCCTTCTCAACATCTCAAACTGGCTTCCTTCTTTCCCAATTCCAATCGACGAGAAGTTCAATCTGCGTCCGTACTTGCTTGCAAGCTTCTCCACGTAGTTTTCAATGCAGTCAAAGCAATCACTTGTTGACGTCCGAAGCTCTATGTGGTCCGACGGACGCCCATCAGACAGGAATATCAAGTTCAAGGCACAGGCCAAGTTGGACGAAGGTGCTTGGAGTAACTCTTCGGCCCGCTTAAGGCCAGGAATAAAGTGACCATGACCACGGGGAGCTGGACACCCAGAATTTCGAATTTGGCAGAGTCTATTGTACAGGATCCAGGTGGTTGGTTCATCTCGCAGCACCTCTACCACCCCGTCGCTGAATGACACAATTGAAACCATGTCGTGCATTCCGCAGTTTCCTTCTTGGATCCTCCTGTAAATGTAATCATTTGCAAACGACTCCCAGACAGCCTTCAATCTTGACTGGGCGCCGTGAAAATCACCCTTTCTCATACTCCCCGATGTGTCCACGACAACCGCAGTATATGATGTCCAAGCATCGTGGTTACGTTTGAGCTCCGCGACGCCTTGCTCATGCTGGGCTCGTACTTCGGCCGAGATCTCAACTTCCTCGAGCCCATTGGGCAACCGATACGATTTCACTTGTTCGCCACTCACGTCGTTGACTATGAACACTTTGTCTTTGTACGTATACGCTACCGTTGGGTCGCCGTCTGGAGTGGGGATCCCTTCGCGCTTCTTGCCATCCTTCATGGCTGCATTCAGCGCCACTTTCTGGAGCTCTTGGCTGGAAAAGAAGGTTACCTTTGACATGTTTCCTGTTCAATGCATTGACAAACCTGCCACCGATCTATGCGTTGCTCGGTTCCCGAAGTTTTAATATTAATAAAAAAGAGGGTATCTTCAAAAAGATATGCTTCGCAAGAAAACCTGAGTGTGAATATTTCGAGAGCTACCGGTGCCGTAGTACGCGTAGCTGGCTACATTACCTGTGGCACTCGTCGCTAGCCTGTAAGATGTCTCACTCGAGGAGAAGTACGGTACGTATCAGTGAGCCGTCTTGTATTGCACATCTCCGTCACGACGCAAAGTGCCCTCTGCGCCCCCCCCTGTAGAGTTCATGGTCAAGGCTACAGGTTACATCACTTCAAATGCGCTTTGTATTCCCACGGTCACCTCTCCAAGGAAGCGAGAAACCAGCTTCACCTCCAGGCAGGGTATGCCCACTCGCTATGGGAAGTTGCAGCTTCTTGCTCGTGCTTGGTTGTTTCAAACTGACACCTCTGGCAACGAAGGAACGTAGCTGATCACTCAGTTGCATTGTGGTGACATTTCGGATCTTACTTATCATTTGACTCTTTATTTAAGAGACTGATCTATTCATTCATTCTTTCTAAAATGTGTCAATAGCCAACACTCGCGCACCTGGTGCTGGCGTGGTCTCAAAGGGAGTACAATCCTTTCCTACTTTGGCTTGGTACTCCTTTTGCAAGTGTTCCATCAATCCCTTTGCATTTTCCTTGGCCACCAGAGTGACACAACATCCACCAAAGCCACCACCGGTCAATCGACTGCCATAGACTCCTTTGTATTTTTGTGCCAAGTCCACGAGTATATCCACTTCTTCACAACTCGTCTCGTAGTCTTTTTGCATACTGAGATGGGAGAGATTCATTTGTTGTCCCACAATCTTCCAATCGCCCTCTTCCAGTGCGGTCTTGGTGGCAATGACACGAGCATTTTCCGTGACAACATGTCGTGCCCGTCGGTAAATGACGTCGTCCATTTGCTTTTGACACTTGAGTACATCTTCTACCGTGGCATCTCGCAGCGTCTGGATGCGATCACCGTGCACCTTTTGCAAAATCTGTGTAGCCTCTTTGCATTGCTGTACTCGAATGGGGTATTCTCCACCCCCAATGGAGTGTGTAACGGCACTGTTGGCGACGATCAATGCGACGGGATTGTCTGGATCTTGTTTCATTTGCACGACCTCAAAGTCATTGGTCCGACAATCAATGCAGAGCAGCGTCCCTTTTTGGGTGGACGAAGCAGCACTGCTGCAGTATTGGTCCATGATTCCACACGGCGATTGACACCATTCATTTTCGGCCTTTTGACAGCGGATGGCTCTAATTTTGGCGGGCAATGCTCCTGGTGGTTCTGACGAAAAGGCATGTTCGGGCCCCAGAATGCATTCGATGAATTGTGCCACGGCGACTTCGAGGGACGCACTGGAACTCAATCCCGATCCCAAAGGAACATTTCCGGCAATGGCAAATGTGGCATCCAAAACGGCACCTTGTTTGGGAAGATCCTTCATCAAGTACTGGGCCACCGTGCCGGCCACATACCACGTCCAGGAACCTGCTTCTTTGGGAGGTTGTGTATTGACATCAATGGAGACTTGTTCCACTTTGTCAGGATTGGTCGCACTGGCAAATTTCAAATTGGCTTTGGAGACTTCTTCAGCGTTCTTGTTGATGACTAGACTGCCCGTGCCATAGACGACGGTAGAATACTCAATGGCCAAGGGAAACACAAAGCCTTGAGTATAGTCCGTGTGTTCTCCAATCAGATTGACTCGTCCTGGCGCCGTCACCACCCACGCCTGCTTCGCGTCTTTCGATTTTACATCATGTAGTTTGTCATGGTAGATTTTCTTGGACGTGTCCACCAATCCTTGCATGGACGGAGACAGAGACACACTCGAGAGTTCCATACTAATAGTACTAGTAGTAGAAGATGGTGTTGGACCAAATGACGAGGAGAGGCAAAACACAGAGGTTGGAGTGATCAATACGAGTAGCAATACCGGAGTTACATGTATTAAGCCAAGGAAACGGGTGTACATTTCTTGCTTCTTGGGAAGTGAGACCAGAGAAGAGTTTTGATGATGAAGCAGGTTGATTGGCCGTTGGCCGAAGTCTTTCAAATCTTTCAGTCCCTCATCGTCGGGACTCAAAAAGATCTGGAACCCCCAAAGATTTTGTTCCATTTCCGAGACGCCTTTTTCTCCATCCAAGACGATGACATGTAAATGGTTCCGTCACTGGGGTTTACAGCCACAAGCACGCTAGCACGGTTAGGAGCAGTCAGGGTAGGGCACTACCTAGGAGATGGACTACGTACATGTAGATCGACCTCTCTCCGTTGTCAACCCACCCCAGGTTTCGATTGTTCAACTACCAGCTAAAAACATTTGCTACTACAAAGCTACAGACCAAGAAGCAGTGGAGACTTCTCCACAGCTACGAATGCATTAACAAGATCCATTTTAATAACTTGCTTCCACCAACCCCACGTGTTAGATATAGGCTGCATTTCCCATAATACGCACGGCACCACCGGTAGACCAGTTTTTACCTCCAGGCTGGGCGGATATATTATGCCCAGTGGCACTGTTATGTACAATGCCGGCACCGGTACTACCGGTACCACTTCAGGACGGGAGCTGTGGGGATGTCTCTAGCTAGTAGTGGCTAGACCAGCCGTTCAAAAGCGTGAAGACCCAATCACATACGATGTACCGTATGCTGGTACGCTGGTGGTACCGGCACACCAAGCTGTACTGTCCCACTACTGGCTAGCTAGCTACTACGGTACATTAGGCATGCAAACTTTTTGCGGGTCTCAAGCAGGGAGCAAAAACGCTTTCCGTATGCAGGATGCGTGCGATGCGGAGGACCCACGTTGTGCAAACCCGCGTGTTGGCAGACCAGGTAGGTGCGGTAAACATAAATATGAGCGTTCTATGGCAAGGCAACCCCATCAGCTGTGTCAAAACCTTCCGGACCCGACACTGCCAACTTTGCAATAAGGAAAGACTTGAAATACTTCGACGTTCTCGAGAATCACCAGAAACAATGATCAACACACGCAACGAAATCTACGGCGCCTGCCGACACAATCCAAAGTTTCACAAGTACATATAATTTAGCCCAGCACTGATGAGTCTCACAGAGGAGATGAAAGAGTCACGCCAAAACCGAAAAGTTACCACAGAGGCTGAAAGCCTGTGTTTTAGCGATTTGGCAGTTGGTGACCTGTTTCAGTAAAATTTACTTAATCCAGTCACTCTTTGCTAAAATCGTATGATAAATATCTATTGGTGCAAGAACCTCAATTTACCTCAACTACCTTTAATGTCTGCCTCTGTCATGCTCCAACGCTCAAAATAGAGTGCGTCATAAATTGGGCGATGCCCGTGTCAAGTGCTCACAATTTGCTTTCCTTCGAGCACTCGCCCATCACATCACCTTTTTGTTCTTCGTTGAAGTCAATCTACTGGTGCTTCTAGCTAGCTAGTAGTTGTCCTACTCAATAGTTTGCTGACACCCACCTCTTGTAAGCCCGCCCACCCATCCTCTAGCTGCTACCTGGTACCGTAGATCTACACAGTCCAGACAAACCCTGTCCATTGCAAGCAACCTAAACAAGCATGTGTGTTGTAACTGCTTCCACTGGTAGCCTCGCAACCACTCCTTCCCACGACGAAGGGCTGAGAAAAGACAATAGCAGCAGCAAGAACGCAAGCTCTGACCATCACGATGAAGTGGATATTGTTGCCAGTTTTGAGAATGTGGATTGCAATGAAGTCTGGAATTTCTTCATGAAGACTTCTGTCTTGTCTGATTTCTTCAACTGGAGAAAGCCGTGGGTTCTTGTGCCTCAGGGATCTTTCATGGGATACTTCGACTGGGTCCCACTCAGATTCCGTTATGGACCTTGGCATCCTGCCTGTATGGCATACCTGGGGGTATTGACCGCATGGGTCTACAATGAATATACCAAGGGAATGGCCCAAGAACCATTCCCTAACTTCCAACCAATGGAAGCATACACTCCATCTTGGTACTACAATGTGGCTGGCTTTGCCTGGACTTCATTCATTATCTATCGAATCTTTTGCTCAGGCATGGGATGGACCTCCTGGGGAATGTACACTGTCTGGTCTTGGACTTTCACGGCTCTGCGCCATGGTCTCTGTGCTGCTGTACCCTTCAAGCCAGAATGGACGAATCTCAGCGAACAACTCAGATTTCCAACCTTGGTACAAGCCACTTTGACCTTTGCAGTGTGGAATGCCGCGATTGGGCCCAGCATTTATGCACAAATGAAAACACCTAGCCAGCAAGCGTCTTTCTGCCGATTCTTTGGAAACTCCTTGTGGAGACAGTTGCATGTCTACAACATTCTATACGCCGCCATCAACGGCATCTGGGGAAGTCCCGCACGGGCACTGACCAAGGCCGACTTTTCAGTAGCACTCGCAATCTGCCTCTTCTATTCATACTTTTATTTGGTGGCTCTAGACCGTATGGGGGTTCATTACTATTTGGTCTTTTCCCCACGGACGCCTTTTGCATTGGTGTCCTGGACGATCCTGTTTGCATGCCATTACGCCTGTTTCGCACTGTGGAACACAATCTTGACCAAATACGCCGTTTGAGGCGCCCTGGAAGCGAAGAAGTCAATGTGATAGCTGTGACGATGTGGTGGAGTAAAGTAGAGGAGTGCTGTTTTGAATATGTAGTAGTGGTGGGAACCTTTTTGAAGAGATTCATCCAGTTTAGCCACAGGCTGATCTTCAGAACAGTTCTCAAACCTTGACTAGCGCCAGGTGTGCTCGCAGTGACCTGACTTTATTGACTGACACTCACTTGTTACGAGTGATGGGATATTCGATTCGATTCAATACGTTGTAGCTCACAGCTACTACTACCATACCGTATTGGAGTCAAGCAGCGGTACATGTAAGTGTAGCAAAAATGCGGCAGCGCGTTGCAACCCGAGAATCGGTCATTGACGAAATTAGCAACAACAGGTGCAGTGATTGCTTGCTTGCTTTATCTTCATTCTGCTTGCCTGCCTAAAGTGTACGGGTTTTACCTGGACCAACTCCGTGGCGACATAATCACTATTAGCTTCATCCTGGTGAGTCAGTCTCTCATTTCTGGCAGCATTTTGGCTGGCTCATCCATCTCAACCTTGAGTAAGTTCCTTGATGAGTTGGCTCGCGCGATGCTACCAACAGCCATCATTGTAGCATCTGCAGCAGCATATGTGGTTTTCAATCCAACATTCGCAGCCGTCTTCCCCACCACTAGAGTGGCATCAGCAGCAATTTGAGTTGTGGCCAGTCCAACATTGGCAGCGGTCGTGGCTGTGCTCACAGTGGCGTTCACAGCCGTCTTGGCAACTGACGTGGCTAGAGTAGCTGCTTTTGCAATTCCCATAAAGGATTGTTGAGCTACTACTTTCGTCCCCTTGGAAATAGTATGAGTCAGGTCCTCTTTTGGTTCGGGTACTGGTTCGCTGAGTTTGGTAGCCTCCGCTCTAATCGCATCTTCTAGCGCCTGTTTTTCGGCCTCCACTTGCTTCTGCCTTTCTTCCTCTGCCTTTTTGCAGTGGTCCATAGCTTGTGTGTATTGTTCCCGCGCCACTTTGCGCCGATTTTCCCGTTCCGCGCGTGATCTGCCTCCACCTCGACGGGGGGAATTGTCTCGCGACCGAGACCTTTCTCTTGGTGCACTAACACTTCTTCCGCGCCCCTCACCGCCATCGGCGGCACGTCTCTCACGAGCAGGTGACCGCGATCGACTCTTGGTCGGTCTGTTGCTCCCACTATTTTTAGGCGACCGAGTTCTTCGACTAATGCCATCACCTGGGGACTCTCTCTGTGGCGACATCGACCTCTTTGTCTTGACTTTGTCGCCATCACTTGCATAACCTTCTCCTTCAATAGGTGGATTGGTTTCTGACACTCTCTTGGTTGACTCTTTCTCCACCGCCAAGTCAAATTCCAAAGAGTCCAGCTCGGGAGGCCTTCCAACCTGTGATTCTGTTATATCCCCAGCCGATTGTCTTGTTCTTTGCGCTAAACTGTTGTTGCTTTTGCTGATGTTGCCGCTGGTTTCATTTCTGGACCGGCTTCTTGATCGGCTCCTAGATGAACGCTCTTGCACCCTGGCACTCGAACTCGATGGTGAATCAGGACCGTCCTCACCACTTTGCGTCCTACCGGGCTTTCTCTGTCTGGCAGCTCTCTCTGGCGTGGAGACAGGTTCACTCGAACCGTCGCTCTTGGACCGATGAAGAGATGCCTTTCCGGGACCACCAGGCCTTTTTATTTTTCTAATGTCTTGCTCTGTTGTTGCACCGCCTGAAACATCGCTCTGTGATCGTGCCGGAGGCGCCTTACCAGGGGGCGTAACTGACTTCTTCTTCCTCCTGTCTTTCTCCGCAGTTGGGGCTGCGTCAGAAAGGTCACTCTGGGTTCTTCGAGGGGCCGCTCTAGTAGGAGATCTGCTGGATCTTTCAGTACTCTTGGTACGTGTCCGAGTGGGAGACTTTTCTCTGGCTTCCCCACCACTAGAGGCGTTCTCACTTCGCTTGGATGATTTGTCTTGACTCCTAGAGCGATTTGCAGGAATCGACGACTTTCCATCAGGTGCCTTGGGTGATTCCTCTCTTTTCCGGTCTCTCTTGGGCGATCCTGACCGTTTGGCAGAGGTGGATCGGGCCTCTTTGCTATCTTTTCTGGATCTGGTTTTCCCATTGCTATTGGTTGGGTTGGGGCTTCGACTGCGGGTTTCGCCACGACCGCGACCTTGACGTTGCTTATCACTTTGCGTTTTTTCTTCTGCGTGGGATGGTAAAGTAGATTGCGGGAATGCCATTTTGGGTTTCCTGGTTTCATCCGTGTCATTTGCCTGTCCATCGGATGAATTCATTTCTTGCAGTTTCAGTTGTTGAGCATACTGTACCAGAGCATCGTCTTCCGAACCGCGCTGGTCTAGCGGCAAAATAGTAGTAGTAGCAACCCCTGCATCATCGTCAGCGTGATGAGCAGACCACAAGGTAGCAGTGACATCGGGGTAAAACCTGATCCCATCTTCATCCGTCACAAAAGTAGCATTCTGCCCTGAATGAGAATCGTCGGCGTAATATTCGACTCCATCCTCAGCGATAAAAAACTTCTCGTCGTGCCTATCCAACAAAAATTCGCCTTTGATTTTCCAAGTTTGGTCTCCATCATACAAGTCCACTTCTTGCAGAATGGGCTCATCCAAGTCTGCTGCCATCTTATTAGATCGATCTTACTGGCTAGAGGCTGTCACCGAATTTTGCAGTTTCTTCCTTGGTTCATCCGACCTCTGAGCACCTCAATCTTCTCTGCTGTGGTACGGTGTACTGATCTATCTTTGCCTCGGGCTAATAAGTACCGTACGGCTTCAATTCGATGCCGGTGCCTCCATCCAGTTCTTGTGCGGGAGATGGACGATGGACACCCACGGATGTGGCAACGCGGTCGTGGACGTTGTGGTACATCGTACTACTAGTACGACTGTACTTTTACGGACGGTTTCTTCCAATTGTTTCTTTTCACTGGGACATTTGGATCAGGTAGATGTGGTAAACAACAAATTCGTTTAATTCTTCGGATCAAATAATTACCTCAACTATCATTTTTGAACCTGCCAAAAAAGCGAAACAGTTTTTAACGCTCGGAGTCCCAAATTCTGGGAGACCCCACTCCCAGAATCTGGGAGTCTCACTATTCTCGGCGGCTCGTCCACCTTTAAACCTTGTCACGATGGCAACATCAAACTGTTAGTATAGGTAGTAACAAAGGGAGAGAGATCACTTGTTTCTATTATTGCTGTGCTGCTCTTAATTCATCCTCTCACGCCTTGAGCGCTTCTCTTCCTTGGTTACTCGACTTAGTTTTCTTTTGCTTTGCTGCCTCTCCTTTCAGCCTTGCGTCTGTTACTCTTCCTTGGCTCCTCGACTTGTTTCTTTTGCTGTGCTGCTCTTTTCCTTTCCTTGCTGCTTTCCTCTTGCTGCTCCTTCTTGTTTCTTCTTCTTTTTTTTCTTTTCCTTTTTCCTCTCCCTTCAGCTTCGGAGTCTTGTCTTCCTCTCGCCTTCGACTTCTCGCATTTGCACTTCTCTCGATCTGTTTCGCATGCTTTAAGTGCGGCCTCTTTGTGCTTCTTCCTCCTGTTCGTGCTGTAATTCGACCGTGAAGAGGTGGGAGGTGGCGGCGCTGGAGGAAGGTCTGGCTCCCCTTTCTTCCTCCTTGATCCGCGAGTTCCAACCATTGTTTTGTCGATTGCCCTACGATGCACTTTAGCTTGTTTGTGTGCTTGTTTGTGTGTTCCATGGCGAAGGGTGCGAGGATTTGGTGATCAACAGTTTCACCATTCGATTCGATTCAAATCGAGATTTTCTGTTCAATGCCGTGCTGCCAAACGGCGCCATCCAAAATATCAAATTCAATGGACTGCCTCCATCGACCACCACAGTTAACTCCATTGTGGCTCCATGCAACGAATACATCATGATTTCTACTCGATCAGTAAGCTTCAAAGCTAAGCTTCCAGCTACTGTACGCATTAGCGACAGGCTAATACCAGTAGTAGCTTTCTCGTGACGTTTGAGCAAAACAGATTATAGTCTATTAGGGTTTAAGGATAATTTTTGTGGCGAGTAAAGAAGCGACGATGGGCAAGGAGACGACGGCTCTGCATGACTGTCTTTGAATGTCGCACAATCCACAATACAAACGATGGTTCCAAAAGGATGGGGCCAGCAGCAGCTTACTTCTTGCCATTGCGGGCAGGCTGCTTGCGGCTAGGACCAGGGGTTGGCTTGCGGGCAGCCTCCCTCTTCGATTCCTTGGCCTGTTTCTTCTTGGGGTTGAGCTTCTTGGGAGTAAAGTACTGCTCCTGGGAAAATCCACCAGCCTCCATGTACTCCTCGCTGGAATCAGAGGTGTCCAAGACGTTGACACTGGCATTCAAGCCTCTGGCAAGAAACTTCACCTCATCGTCATCTGACAATTCCTCCGAGTATTCCGACTCGGAAGAGGACATGTCCTCAGTAGCAGCGGGAGCGGGAGCCGCAGTGGGAGGGAGGGTGTCAGCGAAGGGAGTGGGAGGGGGGAGGCTCGAAGGGATTGGGAGGGGGGGAGTCGAAGGCAGAGGAAGAGTCGAGTGAGTAACCACCGGGAGAGTAAAGCAACGAGGCAGGGGCAGTGGCAGCGGGTGGGGCAGCGTCAGAGCCAGTTTCCGTGGAAGCATCTGGCTCAGCAACAGAAGCTGGGCGAACTTGGGTGGCCTCTTCTGCATGGGCTTCTTCCCGATCCTCGACGCGAAAAGCCATGCTCCAAGGGGTTCCCTCGATGGTGAGGCTGACTTGCTTGCCGGTTTCCTTGTTGATGCCATGAGCCGTCACGAGAATGCTTGCATATCGAAGCGCATGATTGAAGATTTAAATTTGTTGTTGCTTCAGGGAGATCCTCTGAGATGTGAGCTGCAGGCAAAACTGATCGGCCAGAAAACAAGCTCGACTCCACTTTCCCTCGGTTTTGAGGGGAAACCGCGCACTCCACTCGGAACCGAGGAAGCTTCTTTTCGCTTTGAAGCTCGATAATAGCGGGGAAAGATCCAATGAAGAAGAGCCCGCTGCCAACAGATTGGTTTTGATTCATTGTTTCTGCCCCGGCTGACGGACTCGACTCCCCCTCGCCTTTTTTAACGCCCACAACTTTGAGCCCGCCACAACAGATTGGTTTGGTTGCATGCGATTTGGCAAACACCTCTCCCTCACTTTTTTGATCCGCAGCTTCCAAACATGATGTTGGACGCATTCACGAACCATGCTCTCGCCCTCTTTCTTGCCGCCCATTCTTGGTGGCAATGGGTTTTCAATTGTGGGCGCAAAGCTGTGAATCGTCTGTACTCATCCTTTCTCTTTGTTGTCGGTTGCATTCACTCCGCTTGTGGGCGCTTGATTGGACAAGGTGTCACTTGGAACACGCGGTTTTCCTTCAGCAGTGATGAAACCGACGAGATTACTATGGTGGTCCGTATGACTTCCACTATGGGATACTTTGACAAGCGTGTGCAAGGATCCTTGACATTGCAACAGTTTGGAAGCACAACTCTATTTAGACTTCTTCTTGATGGACACGAAGTCTTGCATGCCGAAGATGGGGAAACGCTTTGCCGGGGGAACGCTTCAACGGAGCGGTGTACCTCCCTGAAAACGTCCAATGGGAGCCGTTCTTCAGGAAGGTCAAGAGTGCCAATACTACATCTATCCGTGGCAGATGCACTATTCTGAAGTTTGGACCCAACCGGTCGGGTATCTCATACATCAAGCCACCTTGATCCACACCAGCAGCAGCAAGAGTGCAATGCCAAGCGAGCAAGTGCTGCCTTTGAACAAAGCATCGTTAAGGCCGCTGAGGTGGTAAACAGTGTGTCCCAATCGAAGAACAATTTCCACTTGTAGTTTGAACACTTCCTGGACCCGTGGCAAACAAACATCAATCCGCAGAATGTGAGCGGCACATCACAACAAACATGGCAGTATCCAAGAAGGGAGCTTGTTTCTTACTCCCCTAACGATAATAAAGAACAAAACCTATCAAGATAGTGATTTGGTGGCTGACTAGTTGCTAGGCCGTAAGTACTAGTATCGGTGGCTTCGCGGTAACTTGAGGGACTACAATGTCATGTACAATCGTCATCAAAACGAATAATGTGAGCAACCAAAATTTCGACCCGTCAATCCATAGATAAGCTTTGCTTCCGGTTTGATGGCATAATTTCCTTTATATTAGATACTTTGGCTTGCGATCGATTGACTATGCTCCACTGTCAGATCAAGCAGGAAGAGAGACCGTTTGACTGTAAAATTAGACCATGTTTGTTGAGTCTAATCCCTTCATCGCTACGGGAAAATGACGTGTTGGCTCGTCGATCCTTGGAAAGATAAATACTCTATTCAACCACAACTCAACGAAACAATATTGACAATGGTAAGTGCTTGCTACTGGTATCTATAGTAGTGGATGTTTATAAACGAAACAACAATGGTACATGTATGATGTGCGTGTCTGCTGCTTCCGATCTAGCCGCTAACACAACTCGAACCTTTTGTCATAGTCCCCCAATGCTTGAATAATGGAACCCGCTATCACCACGTATATCCTCCAACCATGAGGATCTGTGGATTGTTGTGTTGGTGGCTCATTCCTCCTGTACGTTCTCTTGGTCATCTTCAGCTGCTTCCACCTTGGAGATCCAACCGTTCCGCTCACACATTCCCTTGATCTCCTCGTATGCAGAGTCCGAAAAATTCAACAAGAGCCGAGGATAGGAGCCGTTTTCAATCTCCTTCTCTATCTCTGCCAACGCAAATGGGAGGGTAACCTGAAGGCAGCCAGGATCTCCTTGCTCCTCCTTCATGCAAGCGAACAGGATCTGCCAGTTGTCTCTGTCAGCCGAGTACGCATCCGTGTAGTCTTTCTGCCATTGGTTGATGCGTCTAAAATGGCCAGCCACTTCATTATCTTCATCGCCCGATCAATGACCGTCAGGGTCTCCTTGGTCCATTCTAACTCTTCCTTGTATGTTGTCGCCTCTTCCTTACATTTTGCCGCCTCCGCCTTGCACTGCTCGATCTCTGCTCGCAAAGCCTCTACTTCCGTCTGTTCGGTGACAGCCATGTGGGCCAGAGCAACGGCCACTTGGTTAATGTCAGGCTCTTCGTGCCTGGTGCGTTTGGCTGGCCGCTTGCTCATGGTCAAAACTTATAGTCAAAACTTCGGATGAGACGAGACAACAAAGACATCAACCACAAGTTAACAGGTGAGTTAACAGGTGAGCTTACCTCAAAGTTTGTCGAACTGTCGAACTGTGCGAACGATTTTGGTATGCAGCCACAAGCGTGAGGGCTGCAGCATCGTGGCATCGTGGGGGCTGCTGCAGCATCGTGGCATCGTGGGGGCTCCACGAAAGGAGTGCAGTGACAGCTTCCTCGATGGAGTCGGCCGACAATACCGCCGACAATATCGGTATCTTCATCATCGACTCCTTTTGGCGATTGTCAGGAAGCTGTGGATGCAGATGACGGACCAACCGATGGTAGCTGCATGATGCATGGTCGTCCATG